TAGTAATAGTAGCACAAATGTAATTAGAAACTGTATATACGTTAGAGAAAAGCCTTTAAATAAAAATAAAGTTTCTATGTTGGCAAAAAAAAAAAAAAAAAAATTGATCTATATTATTTGTTACACAAGGGTACTTTAAAGAGCACTTTATGGTATTCTTTTAGCCTAAAAATATAAATAGTATTAATCTATTATGTAGATAATTTATATTTTTATCAAGTTTCATCATGAGTATAGTTCAGTAGTCGGTATCACTAATTACTACATTATAAGATATTGTGATTTAATTAAATGTCCTTTGTACAAAATTGATATCAAAAGGGATAACAAAATAAATTGCTATTTTTTTTAAAAAAGCTTGAATTATTATTATACAAATTAGATAAATAGTTATATTTTAATCAAATAATAATATAAATTTAATAAAAAATAATAATAAAAATATACTTATACTTACTACGGTATAAAGTTTTTTAAATTTTTTAAAATTACACAAAATTGTTAATTGTAATTAGTTTATGATTTTATTAAATTATAAGTAGTATTAACACTATAGTTCTATATTTTAAAAACTAGCTAATTAATTAATGCTAAATAAATATTTAATATATCTAAAAAGCTAACATATTTAACATTAATTTTTATTTATAAAATTGCAGTATTAAAAATATACAGTATATATAGTATTATTATTAATATAATTTAAAAAAATAAAAATTTAAAAAAATTAGTTTGTTTTTTTGTCTTTAACAATAATATTACAAGTTTTTTTTATATAATAATTAATAAATTTAAAATATTTTCCAATTTTTCAAAAAACTAAAGTATATATATTAGTCTAATTTTTTGGCAAAGCCAATTGAGTAATTTATTTGAGAAATAGATAAAAAATTTGTTAGTTTGTTTATATAAAAGTAATTAATATTTAATATACTGTATACTATAATAATAAGTATATAAATTTCTTAGTTTAAAATATATAAGTAATAGATAGATATATTAGTAAAAGATTGTTTAAAAAAATAGATTTTTGGTGATATATTAAATATATTTAAACTTATTAATATTGTTTGTAATAATTTTTATAAATTTATTTAAAATAAAATTTTTGATAAAAATAAAGTCTTTAGAACAGTGATTAATTAAACGTTTGGCATACATATTACGAGACGTCTTATGAAAACTATTTATAAGACATGATACAGTACTACTTAAATATAATCTAATTTTATTTAAACGCACTTAAAGAGTTTCTTTAAAACAATGTTTTAAAAGTATATTAAATAATATTTTAATCCAAAATATTTATCAGTAAATCAAATAATAACTCATCACTAAAAAAGTTTTAAAAATAAAAAATTTAATGATTTATTATTTTTTAAAGTGTTGTTTACATATATGTACGCACTAGTACATCCGAATATATAACTAATACAAAAAGAATTATTTCGAATGTCAAATTGTTGTATAGAGTCTGAAATTAAACTTAAAAAAATTATTCCTAACATGAAATATATATGTACTCAAATAGTAAGAACATCTATTTTACAGATATTAATTTTTGGATCAAAAAAAATAATAATTCTATGGCCACCTCTTGAACAATCTAAACGAACGCAGCATAAATATCACCAAAGACAAGATACAAAGCGTTATACCAAGATAATACACTAAAATAATTCACCTTAGATAATTCACTTTAACAGTTAAAGTAAGAGATATAAAAATAAAGATTAAACAAACAACAACAAAAAAAAAAAAAAAACTAACGTATAATGCGATTTCTCACCATTTATCCATTCTTAAATCTAACTACCATCACACTTAAATTATCGGTGCTGAAATTCTGTAGAGCATGTCTAATCAATTTTGTGCTCGCTTCCTGAGGATCCATAATATCTTTAATGAGATCAACAGCTTCTTGATCATTACAAACATCCCATAACTGAAAAAGCATATAAAATAAATATGAATACTAATAATAAATATAGAAGAAAATTCTAAGCACTAAAAACAAACAATGACTTACACCATCACATGCAAGTATCAAAAAAGAATCCTTTTCTGTCAGAGTTATTTTTGTGGTATAAGGTTTACCTATAACAAATTCTTTCATTGAACAATCACCCAGTGAGCGTGTCACAGCCAATACACCTACCAAATGAAATAAAATAAATAAATCGAAAAAAACGAATAATTTCAGGTGACAAAGTTGTAACAAACCATTAACACGATTATTCATGACAAAACCACCAGCCTCAACAATTCTTTTAGCTTCTTGAGCATCACTTCCCTTATGATCATAGGATAATCTAACAGCTCTCCCATCTCGACTATATAAATATATTACATTAGATTAATAAGACAACAATTAAAGAAAAACATTTAAACAAATAATAACAGCATACTTTAAAACAGCACGAGCATCTCCAACATTTGCTGTATATAAAACACGCTATATTAAAAGAATGAAAAAATTAACAACAGTCAAATAACATAAAACATATAAGATAAAATAATAATTAACGACGTACCTTGAATTTCTCAGTACCATTACAAGCCGAAGGATCCTTACCATTAACTTCATTTTCATTTTCAAATTTTATTGTTTCAGGTTCAGACCTCAAAAAAGCGGTAACGGCTGTGCATCCAGAATGTTTTCCAGCATTTTCGTTAAGTTGCTTATCTGCCCGCAGAAAAGCATCTTGAAAAATTTCCTGTATATCAGAATTTTTTTGAAGGTTTTTTTGAAGTTCATCTTGGAATATCTAATAAACAAAAATACAAATACAAATAAAAAGATTATTAATGATGTACAATGATAATATTTTTGTTTAAATATGAAATATGAAATAATAAAAAAATTGTAAATCCTAACAAAACAAATGATCAGATATACCATTAACGCTATCCTACACAGGACAAAAAGCACATAAGAAAATATCTGAATTAATCACATTTTTTATTGAATTTTTATTAATTACCTCATGAAAATGATTTCCACACCATTCGGCGGCTTGTTTTCCGGCGTGACCGTCAAAAATTGAGAAAAAACCTTGGCCCTCAATTCCCGCGAAATCATAAAAATATGAGTGCGAATCCTATTAAACGATAAGTTTTGCGAAGGATTATATTTAATTGAGAAAATGTCAAGGTGTCCTGGTTGAAAACTTTTGATCATAATGTAGTTAAAATTCTCATAGGCAAAAAAGCCTTGGTACAGTTTGTGTAAAGTAGCAAAATATTTTTATACCTCCATTGTACGTCTACATCGTTTATTACGATCCTCGCTAACGCCCACGCGAAAATAAGGATAGTCTTCTCTTATACTTGTCATTTGTAGTTGATTATTTGAAATTTTTTTTATTTATTTTTTTTTTTTATATATTTATATTGAAGACTTGCAAAAACTTTTGACTGAAAGAGCTTATCGTTATCGTTTAGAAAGTAAATACATTATTTCTTGGCAAGCTGCATATTTGTGTTACGTTTAAAGACTATTAAAGTCACATATCACACCTCTTGCCTTATCTAATAAAAATTAAGACGAAGTAGCAGTTGAAGGAAACTCTCGAGATTAAGTCACGAGAATTACAATGTTGCATATGAAAAAAGTATTTGTTTGTTGTTTTATGACGTTTATTTTATTGCTACGTAAATTATGTTAGGTGATATATTACATATAATCTTGTGATCTAATTTGCTGATTACAAATAAGTTTACTCATTTAATGCAATACTATATTAAAAATTTTGCGACCCCCAATTGAACTTTATTTTTATTAATTCAAAAGATGTCTTTAATCAGAGATAACCCAAAATTTAGACAAAAAATTATAAAAAATACTATCTCTTCCTACTGAACAACGTGATGGCAGAGCATCACCTGGAGTATTATTTATTAACTTAGCGGGAACAGACAATCATAAATACAAAATGTATTAACTGTGGCACGTGTGGGGCTAATCAATCCTTATGGGGGAAGGTGTAACATCGTATGCTCGCATAGAATCAATTTTCGGGACGGTATCCTTCAAAGGGGTAGACGGTGCTTAAATAACAAATACATCCAAAAAATTAGTGTTTAAATATATTATGAATAAAAGTTAAAAAAAAAAAACTTACATTTTCTTATTGGAGATGCGTAGGAAGCCCTCAATTGAACATCTACTCCAATTTTAGGAGAAAGATGCGATTTACGTAGCAATTTACGCGCTGCGGGTGATAATAAAGACGCGCGTACTTTGGGACTAGCCATCCTGCAAGAAATTATCGATTGAATATCACAAAAACGGATAAATATTACATATAATTAAATAATTAAGCTTCAGACCTTGCAATTGGACTATGTAGAGTTCGTGGTGATTTCATGGATGAGTTACGCTTACGAATACTTCTGGAAGCATTGCTTGAAAGATTCATTCCAATAATCTCTCTTCGCGGAGTTGGCGGCAGTTGAAAAGAAGGTCCTATAAATAAATTATATATATTATATATGGTTAAAAAAATCTTGTTCATGTTTAATTTTAATCGCATACTCTTATCTGTCTATAAGAATTATTCGATAAACATTTTGCACTGCTCTTAAATACTGACCAGCATGGCTTCTAAATAATATTGAAAAATTTTGTATCGAAAAATTTTATATCTTAGCAAATAATATACCTGGTGTTTGATCCCCGCCAATCAATAAAGGACTACCTTCAATCATACCCCAGGTCATAAGCTCTGAGGTGTCAATTTGTGAAGGATTGGGAGACGGTGTGGCAGAAACGAAACTATAACCGCCAACTCGAGGGGTTTGTGAAGCGCTTTCATCTACACGATCAGTAGATTAGTAGATCAGTAAGAAAAATGTCATTCAAATTTTTGATAATACAAATACAATACAGTTAAAAAAGATGAAACAAACTTGGAGTCGCATCTAGGTTTAGGCCAACTGCAGCCGCAGTTGCAGCAGCGTGATTATTTATCGTCTATATGATTACAAGTAGGAATATAACACGTGAATGAAATGATCAATATTCGAAATACTAAATAATATTGCTTTATTTCTTACAGCTTCATCCGTCGACTCAAATCTCGTAGCATCATGAACTATTTGTTTTGGTGCCCTTCTTGAATTCTCTTCAGGAACTTGATCTTGGCCTTCCGGATAAAACATTAATGAATTTCGTACCTAATAAAACATAATGTCAAAAATTAAGAGGAATCAGTAATTATATGAAGAATTAAGGTTAGGAATAGTACTTTA